GCCCCCCGCCGCACACCCCCCCACCTTTGGTGCCTGCAACCTGATAAAAACCTCACTGTTCTCCCTGCATTGTGGAACACTGAGACATCCTACTGGGATGTTAAAGTGTCTCCTGTTTCAGGAGTCTCTAAATAAAACTCTGTTTTCACTTCTAACAGAGTGTCAGATTGGTACTTCACTACAAGCCATACATACAGCAGGTGCAAGTAACTACCTGAGTTATTTAAGCCAAAGAACACTTTCACCTGAAATATGTGGCGTATTAAAACAGGTTAACAGAGGGTTATTGTGAAGTTTAAATGAAGTAAATTTTGTTTCTTGCAATTGTTACTTAATGTATTGTACAAACAATACACAAATGGGAACGGGGCATTCGAATATACTATAATTTAAGAATCCTTGACACTGAGGACACTGATTCAATAAGAAAATAATACATATTGATTTTTGTTGCAATTTGGGCTGAGGTGGTAGATGATTTGTCCAGTTTGTTGTACTTATTGTTAGCCCTTACTACTTAGAGAGAGGAGTGTGGATGGTAGCAGTCACTTCCCAAGGTGTGGCTCAGCTCTCTGGAACAATTTCCACAGCTGTAGAATGGGGATAATAACAGCACCCATCACAGGGTTGTTGTGTGCATTAAATGAACTAGGACATGTGGAGTGTTTAGAATGGCACCTGGTGCACAGTAAGCACTCATAAATACTACCTGTTAGTGTCATGTGCCCCTTCAACCAAGAATGTGGCTGCTCACTGCCTGTGGTCCTCACTGACCAGACTGGCAGTGATGCAGTGTTCACAGAAACAATGGTTGATTGGAAGCCTATTGGCAGTGACCTCAGATACCATCTTAAATCTCTATTCAAGTTCAGGAGGCTCCGCTGGATTTATAGGATTGGCAGCAGCAGCAGGAGATCAGCAGTGCCCATTGACTGAAGCTGGCTTCAAAGCCACCTTTTCTACGAAGTGTCAAAAACTCTTTCAACATTTTTCTTTTATTCATCAGATTACCCTCGAATGCATTTGAGATTGAAAATATGTAACAAACCTGATCACATTTAACAGACTCATGTATACCAAGATAGGGTCTCCATAAAGTAACTCTGATGGGCCTTTGCCTCATCCTCTCCCTGTGATGCTTCTCCAGTATGCGTTGACTCCCTGTGATGCTGCCAGCACACACTCTCCCCAGAGCTGTGCCAGTAGGTAGAACTAGGATGCCAGTCACCCAGGGCCAGATTAACCAATAAGCAAGTATGCACGGGCCCAATTGTGCCTTTCCACCAATGTGCAGTGCACAATTTCACCTGTACCCACCACATTAAAGATATGGTGAAACCCATGTGAGATTTCTCATCACAGATTATAAAGTAAATACAATTAAACCCATGCTTACCTTGCTCAATGGAAGCCAGCGCATACCAGTGCTTACTGCTTAACCAGCCCCTGCTGAATCATTCCAGCTTCCCAAGACTGAAGTGGGCTCCTAGGAGGCAGGACTTTCAGTTTTAAAACCCGACAATCCCAGGCAAACAAAGATGAATTGGTCACCCTAGGTAGAACCCCATCAGCAGCTACCATCTGTCACTTACACTCCTTTTCTAATCATCTATCTACCTAACTCATCAACTCCCCCATTAGCACTTGGCCTTTTGCCCCAATCTTTCTAAGGGAAGCAGTTCTTTTCCAGGAATAACACACCTAGATCCACTCTCTCTCCCTGGGGCCACCTCACAATAGGGCAGCTGGCTTCACCCACACTCAAGTGCAGGGAAATTAAGCTCTACCTCTTAAGGGGCAGAGTATAAAGAATTTGTAGTCATATCTTTAAAGCCAGCATGATGGCAAAGGCAAATTTGATAATTTCATAAAACAGTCTGTGCCCAGCCATCAATACCACCATCTAGAAACTAAATCAGCAAAAAGTCCACACCTGTCTTCAGGATCTAACATATGCAAGTCATTCAACTACATTCTAGCCTGGCCTTTTCTGCTTAAGAGAAAGCTGGATTCTTCTGTTGCCACAATTCAACCTAGAGACACCCTGACAATATTATGTCCCTGGAAATGGCACTCCTAGGAGTGCTACCTTTTGAACAGAAGTGATAACATGTATTGCATAGTCAACTTTGGGAATTATATCAATACTTTTGCCCTTATCCCATAAGCTATAGGGTCAGGCAGTGACCTAAGAGGAGAAGCAGTGAAAACAAAAGGACCTAAACATCTCATCAATCCACTAAACCAAACCACCTCTAAGTCAGTGAAGGATAGTTGCGTGCTTTCCTGTTTTCACACATGCATTTCATTTCTTTTCTCATTCAAGGGTGCTATTGGTGTTCATTTTAATCCATCACACATTCAATTGTGTTCTTCAGCAGGATGAGTAAAGTAAAGGAAAGAGGGCAAAGAAAATTTTATTTCTGAGCTAAAGATCCCACTAAAGATGTTATGCACAGAGTAGTTAGGATGAGAGTCCAGTAAATTGTTCTATTTAAATTATTATGTTAGTATATTTTATCAAGATAATAAAGTTTTCTTAAAGATATCATGATTTGTTTTTATTCTGTAGTCTATCTTGCAACTGATGTTTCTACACATTCTATTTTAGGTGACCACGTGATTTTTACCTCCGATCTCTAGCAAGTACTCCAAAGAAGAAAACATTCTGAAAAATCAATCAAGTTTTCTGTGAAGTCAAGTCCAAGTAACATCTCTGTCTTAACTACAAGCAGAAGAAATGAAGCACATTATCAATCCATATGAAAACATTAACAATTCAGCAAGAAATAATTCAGACTGTCCGCCTGTGGTATTGCCAGAAGAGATATTTTTCGCAATTTCCATCATTGGGGTTTTGGAGAATCTGATCGTCCTTCTGGCTGTGATCAAGAACGAGAATCTTCAGTCACCTATGTACTTTTTCATTTGCAGTTTGGCCATTTCTGATATGTTGGGCAGCCTGTATAAAATCTTGGAAAATATCCTGATCATGTTCAGAAACATGGGTTATCTTAGGCCTCGTGGCAATTTTGAAACCACAGCAGATGACATCATTGATTCCATGTTCATTCTCTCTCTGCTTGGCTCCATTTTCAGCCTGTCTGTGATTGCTGCTGACCGCTACATCGCAATATTCCATGCACTGAAGTACCATAGCATTGTGACCATGCGCCACACTGTTGTCATTCTCACAATCATCTGGATATTCTGTACAGGGAGCGGCATCACCATGGTGGTCTTCTCCCATCACATCCCTACAGTGCTCACCTTCACCTCTCTGTTTCCTCTGATGTTGGTCTTTATCCTGTGCCTTTACGTGCACATGTTCTTGCTAGCCCGTTCCCATGCTAGAAAGATCTCAACCCTTCCCAGAGCCAACATGAAAGGGGCTATCACGCTGACCATCCTGCTTGGGGTTTTCATCTTCTGTTGGGCCCCCTTTGTGCTTCATGTCCTCTTAATGACATTCTGCCCAAATAACCCATACTGTGCTTGCTACATGTCCCTCTTCCAGGTGAATGGCATGTTGATTATGTGTAATGCAGTCATTGATCCCTTTATATATGCTTTCCGGAGCCCAGAGCTCAGAGATGCATTCAAAAAGACGATCTTCTGCAACAGGTACCAGAGGAATTATTGATCCCTGATTGGAGGAGCCACAGGGATAATATTGTCAAGTGACAGAATAATGTAGCATATCAACAAATACTAATGTACCCTCTTTCTTTTCCTTCCCTAATGGACATGAGAGACATCCACTGACTAGTGTTTCTAACAGTTTGGTTCTACGTGAACAGTCTTTTTGTATGAGCAACTTTTATAAATAAGAGATAAAATAATGTACTAAAAGGAAGGATGGAATACGAAGTACACACAGCAATACAAATTGATGAGCTTTGGGCTAAGGCAAAAAATTGTTCTTCTGTACATATCTAGCAAGTCTATCACTGGGTTGGGCTTCCAAGGCTATAACCCATTGCAACCAACTTCTAGAAGTTGAAGTCCCTGGCCAGAATGACTCAGGGAAGAAACTGTAGGATCTTTGTAAGCCAAAGGGTGCCAATAAATTGCTGCAGCTGAATTTCTCACTGCCTGTCTTCCACAGACATGCAGAGTTCCTACCATCCCTCCCTCTCTTCTGCCTCCCTGCTATATTGTAAGCCATCTCAGATATTTTTAAGAAGCAGATGGGGTATAAGTTATAAAATGTCAAATAACCAGCTTTAAATCTCCAATAATAAAGGAACCTTCTCTATTAGTCTTCTTTGCCTGCTCAGTATCCCACTGGCATTAAAATCCTTTCTTGGTTAAAACTTCTCATGCTTTGGAAGCATAAATTTCAAAGGAGAAAATAAAAATTTAATCCATTTTATTCATATGTGGGAAAAAATAAGGGCCAAGAGGAAAATTGCATTTGAAGAAGATATAATCAATTTTTGTGTATTTGTACAAATGTAGAAGTAAGAGAAAAGCCCCAATGTGCATTTTGTGGAATAAGGAGATCACGTGTGTGTTTACCATGCTTTTGGACTATGAGGAAAACCAATACCAAAACAACAGTTAAAGTGACAATTCTATTATTAGAGACCTAAGCCAGAGACCTAATGGAAAAAATTTACCACATTCCACAGATCAGTCTGAGGGGGAGATCGAGTCAGTGGAAAATTTCATCCTATCATCAGCCACAGGGAAAATACCAGATATTGAAAAGTGCTATCTATCCCTAATAGGAATGAAAGAAAGAAAAAAAATTATAAATTCTTTCATATTTAATAGTTAAAAAAGAAGCAAATTTTGATTGTAAGTCATTGATAGGCTGGAGAGTAGCTTAATGAGTGATGAGAGAAGTAAGCTCTTCAGATTCATGAAGGTTGGCTATTTAGGGCCCACTGAGAGCAGCAGCATCTTCTGGAAGAGGCTTTGGACTAAGAACGTTTTACATGAACTGTTCAAAGAAGATGACAACCACAAATCAGACTGATAATTTAATGATGGGTTGATATTAAGATGTGGGGAAAGACAGTGATGTTAGAAGCAGAGTATGGAGTAATATGGAGGACAATTACAGACATATTTCCAGCTGACTTGTATTGAAAATTGGAGAGAAGACCCACAATATGTTTTTTTGTCCACTGTTCTGTAGAAACACTTATGTGGCCCTTCTCAGTCACTAAATGGACTATATTACTCCAATGTATATTAACCCAGATTTATTATACATAAGATACTACATGTAAGCCTATTTTTAATAAAATTCAAAGCACAACTTCATAAATTATAATGTGTTATTTATAATTTTAAAACAATAATGTATAGCATATTTTTCTGATTGAGTATTCTCAATAAAATGTAACGTTCTTTGATTTTGCACTGTTCTATAATACTACAGAGGTAGTAGAGCAAGTTACCCTCTACCATAAATGGACCCCAAATACTAAGCTTATTGAGTCCTTTCCTTTCTAATGGCTTTGCTATTTCTTCATCACAACAAGCTCTCAGGTATCATGTCTGACTACTGTCGGAGGAAAAGTATCTAGAAATTCTTCCACCTCTGACTGCCTTCAATTTGTTGTGATTTTTCTGAGAAACAAGATAAACAGGCTATTCTAATAGTGCATAAAACAAAAATAAAGGCTGAGAGAGACCTGAAAGGACTCACACATGAATGAAATGCACGCACTTTAGCAACATTAAATGTTTATTTTGCTACTTTGGAGACATTTCAATTATAGGTTCCTGACTATAAGATCGCTATGAGTTAGAATCGAATCAACAGCAACAGGGTTTTTTTTGGTCGTTTTTTTTTTTTTTTTTTTAATAATTGAAATGTCATTGAATTAGGAAAATAAACATTAAATGTTGCTAAAGTGCAATTATAGGTCCCTGGCTATATTCAGGAGCCCTGGTGGCATAGTGGTTAAGAGATCAGGCTGCCAGCCAAAAGTTCAGCAGTTCAAATCCACCAGCCACTCCTTGGAAACCCTATGGGGCAGTTCTACTTTGTAGAATAGATGGCAACGGGTTTGGTGGGCTTTGGGGCTATACTCAGGAGCCATGGTGGCACAGCAGTTAAGAGCTAGACTACTAACCAAAAAGTCAGCAGTTCAAATCCACGAGTATTCCTTGGAAACCCTATGAGGCATCTACCTTGTTCTATAGGGTCACTATGAGTCGAAATCAAATCGATGGCAACAGGTTTAGCTATAGTCATATCAGATTAGGACCTTTAGTATTGATAATTACTGAAAATATCATGTTTTTTTTTAACCTCGCCCTCCATATATGATTCAAAATTAAAACAGTATCAAACTACACTTATTTGTGTAGGGAAGATGGACAAAGCTCATATTTTTTCCACGACTATTTCAATTCTTTTATCAAAATATCAAATATCACAACACAGATGAAACTTGAAAACATTATGCTGAGTGAAATAATCACAAAAGGACAACTATTGTATGACCTCACTTATTAAAAAAAAAAAAAAAAAGAACAGTCAAATGTATAGAGACCAAAGTTTATCAGTGGTTGCCAGGGGCAGAAGGGAGGGGGAAAAGGGAAAAACTGAATTTCAGTTTATGGTGATGGAAAAATCACATTGAGTAACGGTAGGGTTGTACAGCCAATTAATGTAATTGCTCTCAATAAATTATACACCTGAAAAAGTTGAAATGGCAAAAGTTACGTGATAGTTATAACAATGATCAAAAAAGAAGTAGCTGCTGAGGCTGCTTACGTACAACCAGACACCTCATGAGATTTGGTTCCTTGGTTGAGAGGTTTAGAGTCATGGCTTTGTGGGACATCCCAGTTAACTGGTCTATTAACATGTTTAGTGCTGATGTTCTACCTCCTAGTTTGTTGCCTAGTGCCTGGGATCTTAAAAGCTGTAAGAGGCCATTCAAGTTACAACAATTGGTCTCTATTCACCTAGAGCAACAGAGGAAGAAGGCGAGTCAGGAATAGGAGGAGGAAATGGAATGGGTGGCTAATTGCCTCCATGAACAACTGCCTCCTTTGCAATGAGACCAGAACTGGATGGTGCCCAGCTATCATTACCGAATGTTTTGATCAAAGATTCTACTGAAGAATCCTGATCAAAAGGGGTAAATGCAGAACAGAATTTCAAATTCTCATGGACTCCAAACTTTCTGGAGCCTTGGAGGCTGGATGAATCTCCAAAACTATTGCCCTGAGATGATCTTTAAATCTTACGCATTAAACCAAAAATATCCTCTGAAGTCTTCTTAAAACTAAACAATAGTTTAGCTTAACTAGTAAAGAATGTCTGCCTTGAGCACTGTGCTGTTTACAAGAACAATCTACGTGGGGCTCAAACTGACAACAGCATCTCGAAGGATTGGACGGGAAACTGAGGGGACAGTGAGTTTATCTTAATGTGGGGAAAACAATTTGGAAAAGGAGAGTGAGAATGGTTGCACAACTCAAAGAATATATTCCATGTCATTAAATTGTACATGTAGAAATTGTTGAATTGGTGTATGTTCTGCTAGTATATTTATATATTCTCAACAACCAAAATAAAATAAATTATAAAAAAAGAACTAACTATATGGGATCAAACTGACAACAGCATCTCCAAAGATTAGATAGGAAACTTAGGCAGCAGTGAGTTTATGTTAATGGGGGAGGAAAAATTTACAAAAGGAGGGTGAAAATGGTTGCACAACTCAAAGAATGTAATAATGTCTCTGAATTGTACCTACAGTAATTGTTGACTTGGTATATGTTTTGCTGTGTAAATTCTCAACAACAACAAAATATAAAATAAATTTCAAAAGAAGAGCATCCTTGGTTCCCTTCCATTAGACCATCTTTTTTACGATACCACTTGTTCTAACAAATTTGTGGGATAGTAAGTCAGGTATGATGCGGGAGAGAAGTGTCAGGGAGACCATGAGAAGTAACAAGTGTATTATACTTACAGTTCCCACAGACAAGGAGGCACAGCACACCATGACACAGGGCCACATAGGGGACTGCACCCAGGGACAAGGTTAACAAGCTGGAATTGTATGAAAGGGCTTAAGCAGGGTGGGGTTAGATAGGTTGCAAGAGCTTCCTGGGGGCTGGGCATTTTGAATAATTCCACAGGCTCCAGGACATAGGGGCTGTTCCTAGTTGTTGGGTACCTAGCCTCAGGATAATTAGCGTAGGTACATGATGTCCCATGGGTGTAAGTGCCTAAGTAGAGGAGTTGGAGAGTGGACTTAATCAGCTGCACTAGAAGGGAAATGGACCAGTCTCCAGACAAAGCCTCAAAACTGTCAACACAGTATTTAAAGAAAATGATATTGCAGTGATCATGTAACAGTGGAAGCTTCCTGGTCAGAGAAGAGTACTCATCATAAGGGCAAGCCTGGGGTCAGCCTGCTTTTGAGTTGAAGAATGAAAGCTCTCCACTACGCTACCAAAAGCAAGGAGGAAGTGAGCTTCCAAGGTTATCAGATTTGTCTCTCATCAAAGATGAACCACTGGGAACAAACATTCTTTTTTTAAGAGTCAGGGTCAACTATGTCTCCTATGAGAGAATATAGATGTGGCCTGGGCCTGACCTTCCAAATTGTTGACCAGCCACCTGTCCATTGCAGATTAAAAAGGCAGTCGAGAGGATATTCT